AACAATTCAAATCTAATATTTCTTTACTGATTTTCTGTCTAGATGATCCATCTAATGCTAACAGTGGAGTGCTGAAGTCCCCAACTATTATTGTATTAAAGTCTATCTCTCCTTCTAAATCTAATATTTGCTTTATATATCTGAGTGCTCCAGTGTTGCATGCATATGTATTTACCATTGTTATATCCTCTTGATGAATTAACCCCTTTAACATTATATAATGATGCTCTTTTTTTTCCTTTTTATAGTTTTGACTTAAAGTCTGTTTTGTCTGATATAAGTATAGCTACTCCTGCTCACTTTTGGTTTTCATTTGTTTTTTTTTTTTTTTTTTTTTTTTTTCCATGTATTCCCTTTTAGCCTATTGTGTCTTTACAGGTGAAGTGAGTTTCTGGAAGACAACATATAGTTGGGCCTTATTTTTTTATCCATTTGGTCAGTCCATATATTTTGATTAGAAAATTTAGTCCATTTACATGTGAGGTTACTGAATAGGTGAGGACGTACTCATATCACTTTGTTTATTGTTTTCTGGTCATTTGGTATGTCTTTTGTTCTTTTCTCCCTCTTTTATATTCTATCATTGCACTTTGGTGGATTTTTTGTAGGGATAATATTTGATTCCTTTCTCTTTCCCATTTCTATCCCTGCTTTACCAGTGAGTTTTATCTTTTTCATATTTTCTTGATGGTAGTTATCATCCTTTCACTTCCAGATGTAGGACTCCCTTGAGCATTTCTTGTGAGGCTGGTCTGATGGTGATGAATTTCCTCAGTTTTTGCTATCTGTGAAAGACTTAATTTCTCATGAAGAACTCCTGAAGAATAGCTTTGCTGGATACAGAATTCATGGCTTGCGATTTTTTTCTTTCAGCATTTTGAATATATCATCCTATTCTCTCCTGGCCTATAAGGTTTCTGCTAAGAAACCCATGGCTGTGGATCTATCCTGGAGTAATGCTGTATACCTCTGAGTCCATCCCAGAATACTCCTGTATACCCATGCATCTATCCTGTGCCTTCTCTGTATGACTGTGGGTCTACCCTGCACTACCCCTGTATGACTACAAGTCTACCCCGGACTACTTTCCTATGACTGTGAGTCTGTTATTTTCCTTTTGTCAGTTTATCAGTCCTTTCTCCATGATCTCATTGTCTGGATTATTGTGGCTTTTTAGTAAGTCTTGAGGTCAGATAATGTGAGTTTTCCAAGAAGATTTGTTAGTCTAGGTCATTTACATTTCCAGATAAATTTTAGGATCAATTTTCAGCTCTTACAAAAAGAGACTCTCCTGGAATTGTTTTTGCAAATATGTTTTTATATCGTTAAATACATTTTTATTTTATTTTTCAGTGTTTCCTGCTAATATATAAATATCTAACTGATATTTGTACATTAATTTTGCAAACTTTCTAAATTCACTTACTAGTCCTAGTAGTTGTCTTGCAGATTCCACAGAACTTTTATCTAATCAGTCATGTCATGGAAACATGTTTACTTCTCTCCTTTTCTTTATCTGGTGTCTCTATTTCTTTTGCTTTCTTTGTTACAAAGACTCCACATAGTGTGTAAGAGGATTGATGATGGGGACATTTTTGTCTTGATCCCAAGATTAGAGGGGAAGCATTCAACATTAAGCATGATGTTAGCTATATGTTTTTCAAATATGCCTTTTTACAAATTGTGGGAATTGCGCTCTATTCCTAGTTTGCTGAGATTATTAATAATGAATATGTATTCAATTTTGTCTAATGGTCTTATTGCATCTATTGAAACAATCGTATTGTGTTCTTATTGTGATTATATGTTGAGCAACATTGATTAATTTTTATGAATAACAAACTAACTTTGCATTTTAGATAAATCTTACTAGCTCATGATCTTATCATAAGATTGCCAGATTTTAGAGATATTTGTATCTGTGTTCATGAGGGATATTGTGAGGTAACGTACTTACATTTTGTTTGGGGTTTTTTTTTAGTGTTTCTCTGGTTCTGGTATCAGGCCTATGCTGTCCTTGTAAAATAAGTTAAGAGGTGTTCTCTCTTCCTTTTCGTCTGATAGAGCTTATATAAGATTGGTGTATTTCCTCTTAGATGTGTGATCAAACTTACCAGTGAGCATCTCTGTTACATGGTTTTAGATATTGAATTTAATTTTCTTTATTAGATATAGAGCATTCAGCTTTTCTAATTCTTTGTTTTAATTTTGGTTATTTGGGTTTTTTCAAGGAATTTATCTTATTTGTTAAATCTACAAATATTTGTGTTTTTTCTAGTTATCTTATTAATTTCTCATTTAATTTAATTGTGGTCACAGAATATACTCTGTAGGATTTCAATCCTTTTAAATTTATTGAGACTTGTTTTGGTGTGCATCATATTCATGGTGAATAGATCATGTGCACTTGAAAGGAATGTAGAGATGCCACCGTTAGGTGTGATGTTCTATAAAGAGCAATTATATCAGAGTGGCTAATATTATTGTTCACATCCTCTATTTCTATACTAATTTTTTGTCTAGTTATTCTGTCAATTGCTAAAATACAGATATTAAAATTACCAGCTATGATTCTGGAATTGTCTATTTAATTTTAATTTTTTAATCTATTTTAATTGCTCTTTAACTTTGTCAATTTTTGATTCACATATTTTGAGTCCTTTCTGAGGCACGCATGTTTGCGGTTGTGCTGTCTACCTGACAAATGCACACTGATATCACAGGAAATGCCCCTTCAACTCCTTATCTTAGAGTCTACTTTACCTGCATTAATGCAGCTGCTCCAGTCTCCTGAGGCTCACAGTTTGCACTACATGGCTTTCTTGTCTGTTTACTTTAACACACCTGTGTCTTTATAGTTAGAGCACTTCCACTCTAGACAGCATACAACTGGGTCTTGCATTTTTGTTTATTCTGACAATCTCTGCCTTTGAGTTGGAGTTTTTAGTCCATTAATGTTTAATGGAATTTTAATTTGATTGGCTTTAGTCTTCATTTCACTTGTTTTTCGTTTTTATCTCTTTTGTTGTTGTTTTGGTTTGGTTTTTGTTCTTCCATTACTCCTTTACTTCCTTCTTTGGATTGTTTTAATATTTTTTAAAATTTCATTTTAATTTATCTATGAGCTATTTGCCTATTTTTGTGTATGTGGTTGCTTTAGGTATTAAAATCCACAGCATTTTCACAGTCTATTTAGAGAAAAATTGTACTATTTCATGTAAAATGTATCTAAAAACCTTGCAACTAAGACCATTTCTCCTGCTGCCATCTTTTATGCTACAGATACCATATATATCAACCCTGCATATACTGTAAACTCCACAAAGCAGTGTTAAAATTCTTTCTTTAAACAGTCATATGTATTTTGAAGAAATCAAGAAGAAACAAAACCTTGTATTGCCCTAATAATTAGCACTCCTAGTGGTCTTCGTTCCTTCCTGATGATTCTTTCCCTTTGCTACAATATCCCTCCAGCCTGAAGAACTTCATTTAGCATTTCTTGAAGTAGAAGTACAGGTTGGCTGATAACAAATTCTCTTAGTTTTACTTTTATCCAAAAGTGTCTTTATTTCACCTTCATCCTTAAAGGATATTTTCTTTGGATTTAGAATTGGGGGAAGCTGATTCTCTGGAGGTCACAGTGAGGGACCATAAGTGGGGCCATCCTATACCCACCCATGGGTCTAAGACCTGTGTGATGGTGCTTGTGCAAGATGTGGCCCTATATTGTTGGTTTGGGGTGTTGCAAGCCTCTGGAAGGATGGCACCACTTCTCTTGCAGAATTTTCTGGAGCTAGCCCCTTGGCAGCCCCATGGGGAGAGGCTGTCATCACCAGGCATGGCTAGCCACTCTGGGTGGGGCTGCAGGGATGGCTGGGCACTGGATGTTGAGGCAGCTAGAGGTTCCAGGGTTCCCCCACAGAGCTGGGATGGCTCTGAGTTTCTCACCCTGAGGCTATGACTCAGGTTTAAAACACTTTCACTGGCCAGTCACTGAACACCAGCAGCTTGTGGGGAGGAGGGCATGACCTGGACCCTCTCTGAGAGAGACTCCCAGAGGGGACCCAACTGAGCCACAAGTGCCTGGCAGGACAACCCCTCTGCATCCTCTGCGGTTGGGTCCTGGCTCCCTGGATCCCACTGCCATGCCCTCAGCACCTGTCCTGCTTCCACTCAGGAGAGTCCTACTGCTCTGCTTGTGGCGGCAGCATGAAAACAGGGTGCACCAGAGCCCCATGTGGGTGCTGGGCCTGACTGCCAGTGAGTGGGGCAGGAGGAGGGGCCTGCACCAGGGTGCCCAGTTGGGGGTCGATGCTCAACCATTCCTGACCTGCTGCTTGACCCAGGACCCCGGGGGCCACCTCTCCTCTGCACATAGAGAGGAGGAAAGATGCATTGTCCTCGGAGGACCCTGGCCGCGTTTCGAAGTGGAGTCAGCGCCTTCTGCTCTCTGGCAGGTTTTACCTCGTCAGCGGAGGGGTTCCTTTCATCATCTGCGGGGTCACGGCTGCAACAAACATCAGGAATTATGGGACGGAGGATGAGGACATGGCATAGTGAGTACCAGCCTCCCATGAGAGGATGGAGGGTGGGACGGGTGGACCCCTGCCCGAGTCACCTCCCCAGCCAAGGGCAGCCAGGGAAAGGAGTGCCCATCGGGCATCCAGAGGCATCATGGCTGCTCGTGGACAGTAGGCTAAAATAGCCCCGAAACGAGGCAGGACTGAGCTGAGGCCCACCCTGAGCAGGAGTCCAGGAGGCTTCCCAGTGACCGTCCCAAGGTGCCCCGTGGTGAGGGGACCCCATGAGTCAGAGCCACGAGTCCTGGTCCCTGGGGCCTTGCCCCTCCCCCTCGTCCCCATGGGGTGCAGAGCCCCCTCCTCCCTGATAGACTCGGCTCCTCCCTTACTCTCTTTCCCTGGACCCCTTAGGCCTGGTTTTCTTTAGACCGGAAAGGCCTGGGGGACAGAAAAGATTCGGCAGCACCATCAGAGTCAGCTGAGAATGGACACTCCACCGTTGAGTAGGAACAGACCTGCACACACCCCAGTCTGTGCCCAGGGCACCCCCCAGCTCCTTCCTCTGCCCCAGGACACCCACCCCACCTGCCTCTCACGCCCCTGCTGTCCCACCTGACCCCACCCCCACCCCCAGCTCTGCCTCTGCCACCCCTGCCACCCCGGCTCACCCAGGACACTTTCCCGCTGCTCCCCCCAACCTCCCCAACAGGCAGGGCCGATCGACCGGAGCCCCCAAACTCCCATCCAGACTGTCTCGCGCCAGCACCCCAGAGCCGCAGGTGGGTGGCTTGGCAAAGCCGCTCCAGGTTCAGGCTCTGTTGGCTGATGCCACCGGCCTCCTTACTTTACTCGTCTGTTTCCTTTGGGAAACGTTAACCCACTGTAGGAAATGTCCTGAGTCCGGATGAGCACAGGGTAGTGAGTCCCGGTCAGGCCCCGCCCTCACTCTGCAAACGTCCACTGACCCGCGTCACCCCCCGCAGCTGCTGGATGGCCTGGGAGCCCAGCCTGGGCGCCTTCTACGGGCCGGCCGCCTTCGTCACCCTGGTCACCTGCGCCTACTTCCTCGGCACGTACGTCCAGCTGCGGCGCCACCCCGAGCGCAGGTACGAGCTCAGGCAGCGGACGGAGGAGCAGCAGCGGCTGGCGGCGCCGGAGGGGGGCCCCGGCCACGCCGCCCGGGCCGCCTCGCTGCTGCGGAACGAGCACTCCTTCGCCGCCCAGCTGCGCGCCGCCGCCTTCACGCTGCTCCTCTTCGCGGCCACGTGGACCTTCGGGGCGCTGGCCGTGTCGCAGGGCCACTTCCTGGACATGGTCTTCAGCTGTCTGTACGGCGCCTTCTGCGTGACGCTGGGGCTGTTCGTGCTCATCCACCACTGCGCCAAGCGGGAGGACGTGTGGCGGTGCTGGTGGTCGTGCCGCGCCCCCCGCGGGCTCACCCACTCGGCCAAGCCCGGCGCTGGGCCCGCGTTCGACGCCAATGGGGACGCACGGGGACA